AGTTCGATCCCTGGTACCAAAAGAAAGAAAAACAGGAGAAAGTGAGATCGATTGTAGTGTGTGGTCCTGTCCTGGCTGGACCCTGACTCAAACAGGAAAACAAAACAATCAGATCTGAAGGTTGACAAGGATTTTGTTTTGCAGTGCTGGGGATTGAACCCAGGTTCGGAGCATGCTAGTCAAGCATTATACTGCTGAGCTACATCCCCGCCCCTTGACTAGGTTGGGGTTTTTTGGTACCAGGGATCGAACTCGGGTTCTTGCGCTTGCGCAGCAGGCAGCGAAACCACTGAGCTAAATGCCCGGCCCTTGACTAGCTTTTTTGATGACATTAAAGTATTATTGTAATTATTTCCGAAGTAGTGGTGCTATAGGTATATTTTAAACAGTTCCTACCTTTTAGAGTTGCATACAGAAATATTTACAGGAAAAATGTGTCTTCAAGCAATCTTGGGAAGAAAGCAGAGGGGGGATAGACTGAAAAAGGTTGGCCACTAGTAGAAACGGTAATTTTACTGTTTTTGTTTAAGATTTTCCATTAAAACTTTTAAAAATGTGTTTGGGGGAGCTCATTTGTAAAATGATATTTAAACTGCACAAAATGTATGAGTTAATACTTAACTGATCTTAGAATAAAATAGAGAATATACTAAGAAAATACTGCTGTTTTAAACTAAAATAAAAACTAAAACTGTGTGTATGTGGACATTTACTTCTTTATTTTGAGACAGGATCTCCTTGTGTTGCTCAGAACCCTGAACTGGGCATCCTGGCCTTGAACTCCTGAGATCACGAAATCTTCCTGCCTCATTTTCCAAGTGCTTGGAACTATAACCATGTACCACTGTACCTACTTTTTTGTGTATAATCCCCCCAACCCTGTACCAGGGATCAAACCCAGTACCTTGCACTTTCGAGGCAAGCATGGTGCCACTGAGATAAATCCCCAGCCATTGTGTATACTTTTAAAATGTCAAAAAAAAAAAAAAAAGATAAATGCTCAGAAATATTTGCAATATAAGACAAAAGGTTAGAGTACTTATATGTAGAGGCATTATAATAATAGCTGTCACGTTATGCATTTGGCATCCTTGTAAGCTCTTTATAAATATTTTGTAAGTTCTTACAAAATAGAAAAATATTAGTACACCAAGATTTCAGAGGCCATTCAAAAAGAAATTCAAATAATCAAAAAATAAATATATAATTTTACAGTAATTAAGTATTTGCAATTTAAATTTTCCTCTGACTTTAACCTATCACAAAAAAAGTAAGGATTGGTAGTGCAGCGAGGTGGCTGATTTCTTAAATTGCTAATTGGGGTGTAACTTGGAAAAATCTTTCTAGAGAGCAGTTCAGCCACATTGAGCTCGAAAACATTCATACCTCTTAAGCCTATGTTGTGCTCTCAGGAATTTTTAGCATTATGGTTAGAGATATGGTTGTGCTAGGAGTTTGGTAGAGTTTTGTTTGTAATAAAAAAAAAAAGGAAGCAGTATAATTTCCCTCCAAAAGCTTTTAAATATACAGCACCAATATCTTGGAATGTTTAGGAAACCGTTAAAATTGTGTTTCAAATGGAAAATAAGCCATCAATAGGTACGTAGATACCTTCATTGCAGAGTATTATTAATTGTGGAGTAATGGAATACTAGTCAGCCACAAAAGGACTGATTATTCATACATACAACCACATGAATGAATCTTAAAATATTATGTGGAGCAAAAGCCAAAAACAGGACAAAAAACTGTATACTGTTTGAGTCTGTTTATATGTAGTTCTAGAGCAACTAGTACACTAATCTGCATGCCTCTGAGGTAAATCCAGACTTTTTCTTACAAGGTTGCTGTTGTTGTTGCTGTTGCTTGCCACCACTGAGATGAGGTCTCACGGTGTGGCCCAGACTGGGCCCTGGGCTCATGACCCTCCAGCCCTCAGCCTCCCAAGTAGCTGGGATCATAGGTGGGCGCCACTGCCTCTGGCTTTGCTCTGTGTCTCAGTGGAGTGCGCACTAACCCAAGGTTAGTGTCAAACTCATCCCTCTTATGCACTTCATTCCTGCTCAGACTTCGGGTAAGAAGACTCTATGTTAGTTATTCCTCAAGAAATCAAATTTTCCTGTTAGGCATGGTGGTGCATGCCTGTAATCCCAGCACTCAGGGTCACTGCAAGTTTGACGCCAGCCTGGGCTACACGGAGTTCAAGGCCAGCTTCAGCTACAGAGTGAGACCCTATCTCAAAAAAGACCAAAAAGCAAGTCATATTTTCCAAGAAGATTTAATAAAATAGCCAAAGTATTCACTTTAGAGTTTTAATTGGAAAGAAGAGCCATGATGATATAATGCTATGTATATATTCTACTTATATAAAATAAAATACATGAATGGAAATAGACATAAATGGATAGAAGGAACAAGGATTTAATGAACCTGTACTTTCATAGTTAGAAAAAATAGTAATTATTCGTAAATTGCTATTTAAATAATTATTCTTAAATTATTCTCACTCCATGCCAAATTCCCTTTTTCTCTTTACAGTCTCTTTTCAGTTCTTCAGGTTCAGAACTTGTATTTCCTATTCCTCTAATGACCCCGCTCCCCGTTCTCTTCAGCTGTTTAACTCCTGCTTAGCCTTCAGCTCTCAGATCAACCTTGACATCCTCAAAGTGGACTTTCTTGTCCTTCTCTGATCAACCCCTACCTTGTCATGAGCTGGGTCAGGCACCTTATGCCTCTTGTTTGTAGCACTTGAGAATCACAATTTTTAATTTCCTTGCATGAAATTCCTTAGATAAACTCCAGGACTAAGGACATTGTGTTCCAGACTGCCAACTCTGCCCAAGACTTCTGAAACCAATGACAAATTTGGAAATTTTCCCAAACCACCCTACCTTCAACAATTTGCTTAAAAAATTCAGAACTCATTCAAACGTACTGTGCTCATGGGAGGCAAATTAGAATCTGAGGAGAAAGAACAGAGGCCAGTAGGTTCCAAATGTGAAATGAAATACCAGTTGGCAAGGTCCCGAGTTCGATCCCCGGCACACACACAAAAAAAGAAATACCAGTTGTCCTCAGGATTCCTTACCCTTCCAGCACCTGTGTGTGACATGTGCGTGTACTGTAGTACCACACCTTCAGGAGACGGCCAGAGTTCCTGGATCCCAAGTTTTGCTGGAAGCATCACTGAGCAAGCGGGATTGATAATTGATCTCCCACCCACACTTGCACTCGGTCTCCAAATTGGATGGTGGGTCTTTCTGGACTGATGGCTGTGGCCAGCCTCTACCCTTGAGCTTTTGAGTGTGAATAGCCCCACACTGTCACTGTTTCAGCATAAACCATTGAGTGTGGCTCTCAGGCTTACCATGGTCAGCGATGACATTTCTATCATTTCAGGAAGTTCTAAGGGCTTAGAATTACAGGTTACCTCCCAGGAACTGGGACAAAGTCCCAACCCTGTTTGAGTAAGATAAAATTCTTACTACACAGTATGGTTATGTCAAAAATGTCCTTCCTAGGGCCAGGGATTTAGCTCAGTGGTTCCAGCGCCTGCCTCAAAAGCACAAGGTCCCAAGTTCAATCCCTGGTGCCAAAAAAAAAAAAAAGAAAAAGAAAAAATGTCCTTCCTTCTCCTAGACTCTGAGGTCCCAAAATGGCTCCCAGTTCCATCCCGGCATATAGCATAACAGTCTATGCTGTACAACGTGGATTTGAGTGCGAGACAATCTGAACTTGAATCTCGGCTCTTCTTTCCATGAACTCGGTGACCTCGGACAGATTACCTAACCTCTTGCCTAACTGACCTCACCTGCATATTGGGGATAGCGATAATTCATATATCAAGGTGCTCCACTGCTTGAACGAATGGACATCAATAAAGTTCTCGGGGTAGTTTGTGACACAGTAAGAACTGGGCAAATATTTAATATTATTAAATGCTCAATAAATAATCACTGATGAAATAAGTGGCACATGAGAAGTGCTTAGTAAATATTTGCTAAACCAACAGGAAGCAAGATCTTCTTAGATTTTCTGATTAATATAGTAGTACCACAAGCACTGATGTAGATGAACATGCCATTATTCAAAAGATTATGGCTCACTAATATGCTTTAAGGAAAAAAAGGAATTTCAGAGTGTTTTCATCTCACCAGCAAAGAGAGCCCTCAACCATATAGTGAAGAACTGAACCAGACAGGTTTTAAATTCTCTGCCAACTCCAGAAACATGTTACATGTCCTTAGGAAACAAACTAGATAAAGCAACAGAGAAGGCCATCTTTACATGGAGTCACGAAACCTTTGAATGTGTAAGTTTCCAATAACAAAAGGCAACAAAAAGAATATTCAGATGATTACAAAAATTTGTCTAATGTTTGACAACACAGGTTTGGATTGCAGCAGTACATTTTTATTAATTTGATAGAATTTGACACCCTGGTAAACCATAACAAAGCTCATAGAAATTTTATTTGAATCTGTGAGAAATGGCTAATTTTATCTTGGCACTCATGCTGGCCTAATGTGAGCTTCTAGAAGGTGATTGATTTTTTTAAAAATCAGTATTGTCACTAAACCAAAGATTCAACACCTTAGGGGCTGGGGATTTAGCTCAGTGGTTCCAGCGCCTGCCTCACAAGTGCAAGGATCTGAGTTTGATCCCCGGTACCAAAAAGAAAAAAAGATTCAACACCTTCAAATAATACTCCTAGCAATTAGAGAAAAGAGTCAACTTTTTAAGATGTTCTTTTTAGATTCGAAGTAATGCATACTCATTTAAATACAATAACAAAGTGTTTTAAACTGATTTATTCTTAAGCAATTATTAAATCATTTAATAATGAAAATAGTTTCCAGATGCCCTCCCCACAGTGCTTATTTTCCAAATGTAGCAGCATTAACAGTTTGCTGCACCGACTTCTGTGCACAGCACACAATGGGAAAAAGAACTGCACCTTTGTCAGCCTGTTTGTAATCTGCTGCCTCTGCTCCCCTCAGTCTTGCCACAGGCCGTCGCCCAGTTTGAAGAACTGGTTGGGCTGGCGGAGACCCTGCTGAAGGGCGGAGGAGCCGTGCCTGTGCCCGCGCCCGTGCCCGCGCCCGCCCTCTGGAGAGCAACATATAACTCCTCGCCAGACTCGTTTGCCTCAACGTGCAGTAATTCTGCTTCTGCCTCCGGTTCACCATTGTCCCTGAAGGTTGAAGACGAGCATCCTCCAGATGAGAAGCAGGTCAGTTGGAATACCTGCCCGATCATTCTGGGCAACAGTTAAATACAAACATTAAAATGAGGGTAGAAAGTGATCATTGCTCTATCAGATAACTTTTAGGAAAGTTTAGATCATAGCCATTTCTGTTTCATAGACTACAGGTATTCCTCACTTAAGGACCTACTTGTTTAAAGCCTGTTCAGACTTTCCATCCAGGCACCTTCGACTTACGACCTGCACTCAGATTCCGGCGCAGGAACACAGTGGCAGTGCAGCCTCCTGGCGGGCTCTTCCTCAGCACAGTGCTTTAGTTTGATGTTCAGTGCTGCGCGGAAGTTATCCAAACACAGTCATCAGGTTGGAGTTTCCTTTGACCGTTTCTTTGTTCTGAACATTGTACTGTGAGTGCTATGTACAATTCCTCATTTAGCACCCAATTCATTTAATGACCCTGTCGCAGGACCAGAACTCGGTCATTAAGGGAGGAGTGTCTGCACTTTGTTTTTACAATAAAAATTACTATTTGTGAAACAAATACCCAGCTGAGAAAACTAAAGACAAATCATGGACAAATTGAAGTTTTAAAAATTTATTTTTATTAGTATATGTTTGCAATACATAATAATCACATTCACTTTGGAGACTTGATGCACACACATATTGGATCTTGATAATTTTTACCCTCCTCCCCCAAAATGAAGTTTTTTGTTTTGTTTTGTTTGCCAGCAGGCGTGGTGCCACTGAGCTAAATCCCCAGCCCCTAAAACTATAAAATTCTTAAACCCATAACAGAAAGGTACCTAGGCATTAAGGGATATAAAATTTTTTATCAATGAGAAAAGATAAATTTCAGCTTCTCCATGCTGGATGAGTTTAATTCTTTTTCTATTTTTCCAGTTTCTCTTGATCAGAAAACAGAAGCCAGAAAGACAGGAGTTTAGTTAAAATCAGGTATCAGCCTTGGGAAATAGGCCTTCAAAAGTGACAATTAAATGCTAGCAATCTAATAGTCACAATATTTCAGTCTTAGTATGTCACTTTCCAGTTTCCCACACATTCAGTGATTTCGTATGACACAAATTTATTATTTCAGAGTCCTGAAGGTCAGAAGTCTGGTAGGTTTCACTGAACTAAAACCAAAGTGTCAGCATATTCCTTTCTGCAGGCTTTCAGGGAGAATTTGTTTTCTGCTCATTCTGGTTGGGGTCAAAGTTGTTTCCTGTGTAGACCTGAGTTTCTCATTTTTTTGCCAGCTGTAGCCAGGCTGAAGGCCTTTCTGGTAGATGGTGGCCCACTTCTGCCATCTTTGAAGCCAGCTGTGGCAGGCCAAGTCTTTTTCTCTCGTTCAATCTTTCCTGCCTCTGTCTCTCTTTTTTGACCTACCCTTCTGCCTCCCTCTTCTGCTTTTAAGGTTCATCTGAGTAGATTGGGCCTATCTGGATAATCTCCCATCTCAAGGTATTAACTTTACTAGCATCTACCAAATTATTTTTGCCCTGTGAGGTAACATATTACAGGTGGCAGGGATTAGGGTGTGGGCATCTCACAACACCCTTATTCTGCCCACCATATTTCATTTTCGGTCTTGAGGATAGGACTGATTCTTAGAGCATAAAGTCCAGGTTATATGACAAGAATTTACATATAACCTAGCACAAATGCTTCATAAACACTGAGAATTCTCTCAAATATGTTTAAGCCCTGAAATGTAAAATATATATTAAAAGTATAAAGTAACTCCATAAAGAATGATGATATTGTTCTCTTATATGTTTTAACTCAATTAGTAATATATTTCTCCAGATAATCACTTTTATTTTTCTAATTTCAATTATCATTTCTTGTTTTTTTAGTTCAAGATTGAAAAGTGGCAGATTGCCCGTTGTAATAAGAACAAACCTCAGAAGTTTATTAATGATTTAATGCAAGTACTTTACACAAATGAGTACATGGCCACACACAGCCTGACTGGGGCAAAATCCTCTACATCAAGGGACAAAGCCGTAAAACCAGCTATGAATCAGAATGAAGTTCAAGAGATCATAGGTGATAATATGATTGTATTATACTGTCACATGAATTTGAAATTATCTTACCATCCAAGTTCAATTTATTCTGTTAGGATCTTTGTAAAAATTATTCTTCTAGGGCCAGAGGTTTAGCTCAGTGGCGCCAGTGCCTGCCTGGAAAGCATAAGGTCCTGAGTTTGATCCCCGGTTCAGAAAAAAAAAATTATTCTTCTATGAAAGAAAAATTTTAGAATATTCTAATATTCTCATTAAATATGAAAAAAATCTATAGAAAATTTTTATTAAAATGGTTATTAAAATAGGACTGAAGTTTGTATCACTGGAAAGTTTGACTTAATAAAATTCACAGCTTTAGAAAATAAAAGTTTCAGGGCCAGGGATTTACCTCAGTGGTTCTGTCACCTGCCTTGCAAGCACAAGGTCCCAAGTTCGATCCCCAGTACCAAAAAAAAGAAAAAAGAAAAGAAAAGAAAAGTTTTGAAATATTCTAAAATAAAACTTCACTAAAAATGTGTAACTTGTTTTCTCTTTCCAATCTTTGTCTTTTATTCTTTAACAATAGAGGTTAATTTGGTTGTTCCATTTGTGGTTTTTAAATTAATGTATCTCCTTAAATTTGATCATCTAAGTTACCCAATTAATATTTTTACAAACATCCAAGAAATTTAGACATTCTCTGATTCTGAACTCTATACATCTCATTTCTTGGTTAGAAAAAGATCACTTGGAGGGGCCAGGGATTTAGCTCAGTGGTTTTGCTGCCTGCTGTGCAAGCGCAAGGACCTGAGTTCGATCCCCAGTACCAAAATAAATAAATAAATAAATACATACATACATACATAATAGGAAACAGGGAGATAGATTTAAAAAAAAAATCACTTGGAATTCATTGATGTCAGAAATAGATAAAAATAAATCCCTAACATCTTGGAGCAAAGATATGTAGCATTCAAAGCAAGTTATACCATGAAATTTAAATGGTACTATAGAAAAATAAATATGTATGTTCTCCATCTATGAACTAGACCTTCTGATATCTTTTGCTTTGCTTTGAAAAACCTACCTATATATTCACCCACTTAAACATCTCATGAGAGCACTGCTTCTGTAATGCAGACAGAAATGCAGTGTAGGATGTTGGATGTGTGACCTCAGTTCATCCTTCAAGATGCGAAAGTCTCATAAAATTATTTTATGTTATTATCTTTTACAGGAGTAACAAAACAGCTATTTCCCAATACAGATGATGTTTCAATTAGGAGAATGATAGGGCAAAAACTAAACAACTGTACCAAGAAGCCAAATGTAAGCAAAAACCTTAACTCTCAGGATATTAAGTAGATCCTTTTGGTAAGTCTTTTAAATCGTCACAGCCCTTTCAATGTGTCAAGATGTTATATTACTTATATCTGAGGAATGACATTCTTCACATACTTACTAAGACTCCTGGTGACCTGTGAAATGTGATTGTCACTGGGGATGATGAGGTGGACTAGACAGGAAATTTTAATTTGCTGAATGCCGAGTTCCATTGCAAAGATTTCCCTTTCCCAGAACCTCTCAGATATTTTGATACTCTTAATTTGCCTGTGTGCCCCAGAAATCTCTAAGAAGGTAGTATAGTATGTACCATAGCTTCCCAAATCGTTTTACTGAGGCACTATTCACAGATCACGTATTAACTTGGGAGCAATAGTAAACAGGAGCCAAAGCACAGGCACAGTACTATTTAGCAAGTGTTTCTGCAGAACAATGGAGACCCAGATCCTGAGAAAGTCTCTGTGATGCATCCAGAGACTGCATGGAGGGTGAGGTGCACACCCCACTGTCTGGAAGTGTTGCATAGCCTCCATCATCCATGCTGCTTCTCATTAAATCTCGGCCTAAGTAATCAGTCATTGAAGTTTAATAAGAATTTTTACCAATGGTTGGCCCTTGCCTTGAGCAAATCTGGTAAGGAAATCTTGTCTGCTTTCACTGCACAAAGTCCTGGCTAGTTCACTTGTGCCTGCTCTTCTTCTCTGCTTTAATTTGGATCTGAACTGTCCCTAAAAGGCCCATGTGTTGGGGCTTAGTCTCCAACTTGGCACTGTTGGAAGGTGGTGGAAATTTTAAGAGGTAGGGCATTGTAGGAAGTCTGCTCTGCAGGGATGTATTTTTGGAGAAGATCATGGGACCTCTACCTCTTCCTCTGTGTCTCTTGCTTTCGTGCCATGAGGTGAGCAGCTCTGCTCCCCTGCGTGTTCTCTACCATACTGTGCTGCCTCCCCACTGCACAAAGCAACAGCCCCTGATCAGGGACTAAAACTCCAAAACTATGAGCCAAAATAAACCTTTTCATACTTTCATCTTCTCAGATACTTGTTATTGTAATGGAAGGCTGGTTAACATGTTATTTTGGGGCCGGGGATTTAGCTCAGTGGTTTCACTGCCTGCTGCACAAGCACAAGGACCGAGTACCAAAAAAAAAAAGTTATTTTGATGGAAAATATGTGAGAAATATGTATGATTGTGTTACTAATATTTTCATTCATTCATAGAAGTATAGAGGTAACACAGGAGAGGGAGTTCAGTCCATGTGTTTAAAAGGTGCCCCTTTTCTTTACTTCTCTCTTTGACTTAATTTTGGCTGTTCTCCCCCTGATTAACTGCCTCTGGCACCACGTTACTTGTCTCCCCTTTTTTTGACTGTTTTAGGGGGGTATGGATTGTGTCTAGTGCAACATCTCCCCTTCACCTCCTACCAACTGCTGTCACCTCCTTCCCCCTTGAGGTTCCCTTATTGAGTTCATTATACAACTAAGGCCAGCTCTGATGAGAGTAACGGTAGTGACCCTTCCTTAAAAAAATATATAAGGTAGTGGGAGTCTTTTTCTTGTCTCACACATCCTGGTGAACTGACTTACAGAGTTATAGAAGATAAGATAAGGATATTTGTACCCCTTTTCTCCCCCAGGGATTATAAATTTCAGAATAGCATGAAAGTCATAATTTCCCAATTATTAGGTGATTTCTTAAATGTACCCATAGAATTTCTCAAACATGAGGCTAACCAGTTGTCATGGTGTATAATGACCAAGCTCCTTTCTGAATGCTGTGTAACTAGACCTCCAAGTCAGACGTCTGTCTTTTGGAGCACATTATTATATTTCAGAATTCCATACAGTACTTTAACATCCTAAGCTCTGCCTTTGTAGTATCTTAGGCTGTGAAGGATAGGCACAAAACACATCTCTGTCATATATCAGCTGGCAGAATGTTGAAGAAATGAGCATCAAAAGATTTTTGATCTATTTTACTTGTGTTTGCAATCAGTAATGTTACTAAACTACCTGAATATTATTTAAAGTTGGAACAAAGGACAAAGCTTTCTCTTTGAACACAGTACAGTCTTATCTTCTGGGCCTGAGCCTATCTTTGTACTGCCAAGTTGCCTACATTAGAAAGGCATATATTTTGAACAAGAAGTGAAGATTAACACCAGAATGGAAATCTTGTTTATTTCATTGGAAATATAGCTAAATTCAAGTTATGTCCAAAAGACTAGGAAAAACTCAGTGCTGGGAAAGATAAGGTCACTAGAGCCACTTGTGCTTTATGATCAGTTACAACACCATCAGTTGGACAGCTAAATATTTAAGGTGACAGCATTTATTCAGGTGAGGGTCCCATGATGGGTGGCTCTTCAATGTTGGGAGCTCATGCAGAAGAGCTCACAGGAAAAAACAGGAAGCCATAGAGATTGAAGGCTGAGCATGCTCTTTCATTACCCAGTCTGGCAGAAGCCAACTAGGGTCCTAAGAAAACTATGAATCCATTCCGAGGCTGGTGCCTTGAGACTAGTGACCTAACCACCTTCCACTAAGCCCCACCTCTGGAGAGTCCACCACCTCAAAACTACCACACTGAGGACAATGCCTCCAGCACTTGAAACTTTGGGACAAACTATATCCAAGCTACAGCACATGTCCTCCAGAAAAACAGAGGGAGGAGGTTATTTTAAGCAATTGCCTTAAGCAGTTGTACGAACTGGCAAGTCTAAAAATTCAGGGCAGGCTGGAGACCCAGGAAAGGATGATGTAGTCTTAAGTCTGAAGACAGCGTGGAAGCAAATTCATTCTTGCTCAGGGGCCTCAGTCCCCGCTTTCTTTCAAGGCCTTCACCTGATTGGTCAAGGCTCCGTCCACATTATGGAAGGAAATGTGCTTTATGCAGAATACTGATTTCATGAAATAAAAATCTCATCTAAAAACAGCTTCAAAGAAATATGTAATCTGTCATTTGACCAAACAATTTGGTATCATAGTCGACACACAAAATTATCACAACTAATGCTTTAGAACAAAAAGTCTGGTTTGGAAGGCTGCTCCACCTTTTGATAACTCTGTGAACTTCAGTTTAAACAGGGTTTGAGTCTTCTGTGTTTTAAATGACATAAAGCAAATTTAGGAAATTGCCAGAATCTTAGGAAGCAATCACTAAGTATAACTGAAGAATGATAGAATTGTTAATTATTTTTAAGATGGTTAAATGGTATGTTTGGGCATTCATTGTACTTTGTATGTTTTTAAATTTACCTATTGAAAAGTTTTTTAAAGGTACTTCAGGGCTGGGGCTGTAGCTCAGTGTAGAGTGCTCACTACCATGTGCAAGGCCTGGGTTCAATCAGCAATACCATAAGAAGAAAAAAGCATGTCAAGTAAAAATACTTTAACTGATTTCTGGGCTGGAATTCCTCTAATATATCATAAAATAATTCCTAAAATACCTCAATAGTAGTAGTTCTTATCAACAACTTGTAGTTTTGGGGGGTTTTTTTGGTACTGGAGATCGGACTCGGGTCCTTGCACTTGCCAGGCAGGCTGTAGAACCACTGAGCTAAATCCCCAGCCCCAACAACTTGTATTTTTAAGAAAAAATTTATAATAGATACAAAAATAAATGACTCGGAACTTAAAAATACTGTAAAACTTTTAACATAAATTTGGCCTCTTTTAAAAAATTTTTTTGCTTATTTATAGGCATTGAAGGTATCCAAAAAAAAGGACTTCCATTCTAAATCCAACACTGGACTGCAGTGGGGCACCTGTGCCCTCCCTGGCAGTGAGCATGGAGACATGTGCAGGGACAGCTGGGGACATGCGTCACATCCCTGGGCTCTCCTGATGGAGCACACACGTGCTGAAGAAATTGCATGTAGATTCCATCCTAAATACTAGTATGCATCAACCCAAGGAATTTCTACTGTCAAATAAGCATGCAGGATGGTTTATTTGGAAATAGGCAGTTTTCTTTTCCCAGATACTTATACAGTTAACAGGATAGGCAGAGCTCTCAACATAACAGTAACATCTTCCACTCTGTAGATCACTGTCTGAGCTAAACACTATGTATTTATTATTACCAGTGACTCCCCATCATAGCTTTTGGATCTTTAGCATAAGCACATTTAGAAAAGTAAACAGGTAAATAATCATTGCTCACATTGTTCACAAATATGAGAGCAGCATGTTATGCCTAAACTCATAATCATTTCTAACCAAGAAATGTTTCACCAGGGCTGGAGATTTAGCTCAGTGGTTTTGCCGCCTGCTGCGCAAGCGCAAGGACCCGAGTTCAATCCCCAGTACCAAAAAAAAAAAAAAAAGAAATGTTTCACCAATAAAATTACAGAACAACTCTATTATCTAAAAATGAATAATATGAAAAAATGAGAGCAGCAAAACCTTTTTGATAATAAACTATTCCACCCCATACCTGCAAAACATTTTTTTGTGTTAAAACAATGTATAAGTCCTCAGAATAATCTTTTTGTTTGTTTAGCAGATGTGTTCTTAAGTTATTATCCAAAATAAATATAGATATGGAGGGCCGGGGATTTAGCTCAGTGGTTCCGCTGCCTGCCTCACAAGCACAAGGTCCCGAGTTCGATCCCCAGTACAAACATATATAGATAGATAGATGTGGAATATAAAGCCTCAATATCACCTAAAACGTCCTATTATATGATATACAACATGTATTTGGTCAGTTATGTTGCTACACTGCTTAGTTTTAACTGGTTTATTTTCATTGTAGCAGAAAAATGAATTGAAAATAATCAATATAAGTTTGATAATCACACGAAAAATGCCATTTTGTTAATCACAAAAAGATAAAATATTATCCAAAGGGTTCTCCCTGATGTTAGCTTGTCACAGTTGACCATTGTGCAACGCAAAGCTGTTCTTCAGTGCACAGGGCCACGTTTAAACTTGGGAAGGAAGATGTTACATAGTTACAAAGTTCAGCTCTGTGGACCCAGGGAACATTCCATAAATGTTGCTTGATAACAGTGTGGTCATATAAAATGATTGTTCTTAAGGACATAAATTATGTAATATTTGCTACTTTTTATTAAATAAATCTCATTGAAAAGGAAAAAGGGTTTTTCTTCTTTACTAATGTACAAAATTCAGAGAAAAACTTTTAGGTAGACAGCTTCTTCACCCACACACTGAGGCATTACCATTATAATTTGACTACATAGTTCTAGATTATTTGTCTTAAAAGAGCCATGTTCTGCAAGATATATAGACAATGTTCAGGAAATACACTTTGTATTTTTATTGAAAAAAAGAGGGCTGGAGATTTGGCTCAGTGGTTCCACCGCTTGCCTTGAAAGTGCAAGGTCCCAAGTTTTTGATGCCTGGTACCAAAGAAAAAAAAGAAAAAAGGATACACTTTTTTTTGGGGGGGGGTTGGATACACTTATTAAAATTTATTCTCTTTGCTCTTCAAAAAAAAAACTACTTAGAGGGCCGGGGGGGAGGGGTTAACTCAGTGGTTGGATCCCCCAGAACAACAACAAAAACTACTTAGTAATACAAGTATTGCCTACTAAAGGTAAATAAATTGCTTTTGCAAAACCTAACTGTAATATTAAGACAGAACTTGTAGGGCCAGGTATTTAGCTCAGTGGTTTTTCTGCCTGCCTTGCAAGCACAAGGTCCTGAGTTCAATCCCCAGTACCAAAAAAAAAGAGAGAACTTGGATAATCTTTTCCTAAAATATTTTTAAATATGTTGATATCTGTATAGGTAACAGAATAAATGTATTTTTGTATATTAATTATAAATGAGTTCCAAAATAAGAAAACTAATGAAACTGAATAGAGTCCCAGAAAGCCATTGATACACATGTAGTACATGTATTATGTATTCACATATATAAGAATTTAGAATGATTAAAATAAAGCCTTTAATAAGTTGGGAAAGAAAGGTTCATTCAGTGATACTATAACAGCTTGTAAATGGAAAACAATTGTACACCCCAATTTCAAACTTTATTTCATTTTATATTTCATATGTATTCAGTTTTCCATATTTATATTCTCTGAATGGGAAGGATATTCTCAATCCAAAGCCAGTGCAGCAAAAGTGCCAACGAAAACTCTCCTGATGCTCAGCCTACAGCAGCCTTGGGCTCACCTGGCTATTAGAGATATGGGTTATAGATTTCTAGGTTACTGTTTCCTTCTGAGAAAACACACTTTTGCCTATGCTTTTTGAAATCTACCGCTTGTGCGACACCTTGATATTCTTGCATTTTCTGTCTGATTTAACTTTTTTTGGCAACTTTTAAAAGTCTTTGGATTTTGCAGATTGTCACTTATTTTGCTAAAAACAGCAGGATAGTATATTTTGTTGTTGTTCTGGTTTTATTTCTTTTTATTTTTTTGTTGTTGTTAGAGGAAGAAATGGGTAAGTCATTCCAGTTGCATGTTTATACCGGAGAGTTCTTTTCAGTGTTTCTGTAGAAGTCCTGGATAAACATGGCACACTCAATTAAATTTAAATCAGAAGAACTACAAATACTTTTTAGTAAAATTGTATCACAGGGAATATTTGGGACAAACTTACAATCAACAATTACACATCTGAAATTCAAGTTTAACTTATGTTCTATATTCATATTCATTGAATCTGGCTCTGCTACTATGAAACTTAATGTCATTCTAAGTCTCATTCTTTTTGGGGGGGGGTGGCCAGGGATCGAACTTGGGACCTTGCGCTGGCGAGGCAGGCAGCGGAACCACTGAGCTAAATCCCTGGCCCCACTCTAATTCTTTTAATATGTTTCCCTGTGCTTACATGTGCATGCCCTACTGCTGTAGTCTGAATATAGTTATATGAAAAAAGATAATAGAGAAAAACAGTTGTTACAAATTAGAATTTTGGAGGCTGAAACTTAAAAGTTAGGGCTGTGAGGTAGCTGAGTGGTAGGACACTTGCCTAGCATGTAGAAGGACCTGTTTTTGATCTATCATCAGTACTAGAAAAAAAATTTATACTTGGGTTTGAAGATATAAAACTAAGGTTTGACAGTGTCTATAATATAGCAAGAAAAATTAATAAAAAGGATATATGATAAGGGACATTTTCACAAACTCTAGAATATCAGAGAAAGAGATTAAAAGAATCTGAGGGAGGATAGAAAATACTAACCAAGTGAGCAGATACATTATGTCCATCTGCCTTTTTTAGGGGGGGGTGTACCGGGGATCAAACTTGGGACCTTGCGCTTTCAAGGCAGGCGGCAGCACCACTGAGCTAAATCCCTGGAGCATCTGCCTTTAAATGATAAGAAATTTAATTATTTTATCAAAGTATTTATCAAAGTATCCACTTTTTTCACTTTTCCCCCTGAACAGTTACTATTTTTCTTCTTGCAATCCATAAGGAACCTGTAGAGCAATAATTAGAAACCAGGTATGTAAACTCTCCTCATGAAACAGCTGATGAGTAACTCCAGTCTAAGCACTTGCTGTATTCCCTGGAGAGGCTGCCTTGTTAAGACGCCATTTTAGGGAGGGCCCAACTGAACCTGGGACTCAGAGCACCCGCAGGTTATCTTCATCTCAAGAGTCCCAGTATTAAACTTCCACAGTGACTGGGTGAGGGACATTCACAGGATATGTACATAGTCAAAGAACCATGGTCAGACTGGCAAGTGACACCCAGAGTATTATAAGCTAAATGACTCAGGCCTTACCACCATGACTAGAGGCCAGGTTTGGCCTGAGTTTCTATGGATTTGAAAGCCCCAAACCAGCACACCATCCTAATCCTACTGCCAGCTTCATGGGATTATCCAGCATGAATCTGGGAACTGACCACCTCCCTGTCTACCTGTGAGAGCAGAGTCACATCTAGAATTGGGCACTCCCATGAAACTGTAGACTCCAGAAGATAACCACAGGCATGAAATCATAGAGAAATTTCTCTCTCTATTTTTCCTTTGCTATTGATCTTTTTGTTATTGTTGTTGATTTTTTTCATTTCTTGCTTTTTTTAATGAGTGTGAACATTGTTTTTATTTTTGTTCCATTCTTGCTTTTGTTTTCTCCTTTCTTTCCTTCTTGTCTTCTTCACCAGTGTCCTGAGGCTTGGGTAAACTCCTTCAGCCTTGCTTCTAGTCTCTTTTTCTTCTTTCATTTCTCTATTTTTTACCCCTTAGGGTAAAATTGCTTTATTAAGTTAATATTTACTGTATACAATTATCTAATTTGCCTTACAGTTTGTTATGTAACTATAAATCATGTCTCTATGGTTAAAGGTGGCAAATTATTAGTCAACACAGTTTGTCGTTTTCCAGACTGTGTTTGATACTATTACTGATTGTACTATTTGGCCAAGGAGACATAGTAGTTGTGATCAACTGATCTTCCTTGTATCAGAGTCATGAACAATACTACCACAGTCCAGTACCAAAAAACTGTGTGCTAGGGCAAACAGGCTGCAACATTTTATCCATAATAAACAGAAGAAGCAGGATCCCGGGGCAAACTCAAAAGCCAAAAGCCAGCTATCCCTAGAAGACATCTCTGAAAAGTTGTCATTTCCTTAAGAGGTCTACATACTAGTAATAAAGCTACATACCATAAGCAATTTATAAGCCTCAATGCAGAAAACAAATAAAAAAATAGAAACTGAGAAAATATGGAAATGATGCAACCCAACACCCCCAACTCACCCATGGCAAATCCAGGGACCACTGAGGTGGAAGAAACCAAAAGCCACCCAGCTGAACTTTCTGAAATGTCAGTACCACAACTAACAAAACAGATGAGTAACTCTTTTGACAAAACCAAAACAAATAATTAGATAGAGAGATGATGACCATAATGAAGGAAATAGTGAAACTAGAGTAGATACAGATGTAAAAAATACAGGAATTTAGGAAAGACAGGGAAACCATGAGTGTCTAACACAAAAATGAATTAGATGTCATGAAACAGATTTAAACAGATATCCAGGAGATTAAAATTTTTATTGAAATAATGCTGATATGTCATGCTGGAAGTATGGGATGCAATGAAGGCAGTCCTACAAGGGAAATTTATACCAGTGAATTTCAACATCAGAAGAACACAGCAAGCTCAAATAAATAACCTAGTGTTGAACCTCAAGATTCTAGAAAAAGAAGAGCAAGTTAAACCCAAAGTTGTATGAAAAAAGAAATTATAGGGGGCAGGGCGGTGCTGCCCGCGAGTCCCTCTTCCCATGAGACCACTCTGTCAGCCACTGGACAGGGAGGCGGAGGATGGAATAGGGCTTATCAGCCATTTCCCTGTCTCACCAGCAGCCTGGTGGCCCGAACGATGTTGGAGCAGGAGCCGGCGGGGTGTGCGGAAGGAGTGGACTTGGCGCCACAGATGAGTAA